GGTGTAATGTGGGATATTTTCACCCAGATTGAGAAGGTTGGGGAGGGGGGGGGAAGCCCCAGGGTCACTATAAAACAGAGAGAAGCCAGATACTCAGATTAACTGAGGTTCTCAGAAAAGGGAACGACCAAGTGTGACCACGGGGAACCCGAGGAGAATGATAAGAGGTCGCCACTTGGAACCCAAGAACGACCACGTGTCGCCACGTGGAACCAACACTGGTTATAAGGTCGGACGACAGTTTGATCACACAGTATGTGTTGACCGTTGGAACGAGAGGGCGTGTGCGTGATCCAGGTTGAATGAGGATGTGAAACTGTTTTCTTCAAGATGACGACTAGACTACAACATTCATCAAAGTAAAGTCCACACAACTCAGTTGCGGGGAAACCCCGAATGCGGAGATGTTGAAGTGAAGACGGAGAACTCTAGAGTGTGAATGCGTCAGGATTCAATGTATTGATATCTGAACGATGTGTTGATCGAATGCTGTTGAATAGGACACGGACTGGACAGATTGTGTAAGTGTTTAGATGTTAATAAACAGTCATGTATCATGGAGACGGTGTCGACTCGTAACATCTATGTCATCGTTGGCTGTTAGTCAAATCATCCATTAGACCACACCCCCTAGACAACAAGCCAAGGACATAGCAGACGATTACTGCATAGGGCACATGATGATGAAGATTATGATGACATGGCAACACACAATGGAAAACCAACTCTAGCTAAATCTAGAACACCGCAACGTTTTGTAACCAGATCAAAACGGCATCATACTTGTTTGGTTCTATGAAACCATGTAGTATTCCGGCCAAACCCTCTAATGCTCCTGCTCAAATTGCATGTAATCTGTAGCTGTTTTTAGTTCTCTTTGATGACTGCTCTTGCTGTAGCTGCACTTTAACCGAAACTCGGGCCTCCGTACCTGTAATCCGTGTAGTTCTGTCTCTAGCTTGCAGTCCCCTGTAGAAATTCTTCAAAATACCGCAAAGTTCATCTTGTCAAACAGCTGGCCTTGTTTGAGGAGAATAAGACAGCTGGCGTTGTTTGAGGAGAATAAGACAGCTGGCGTTGTTTGAGGAGAATAAGACAGCTGGCTACATTAAACTTCAAGGAAATTCATTCCTCTTGACCCCCGACATTCCAGCGACGTGCCAGGAAATACATAACGGCCAGTGCTATGATTGGAATAATAACCAATGCGAACATCCACGACGATGACACGTTTCCCTTCACTTCTGCAACAAGAATGGTTATCACAGGAACAATAGCAGGTAATGTTTAAATGTAAGAGTTACGTCATACAATAAATAATTTTGAATTATATGTATAAATTTATGCCATAAAAATTATGTAAATCTAGGTAGCACCATCAGCAAGTGCCCTGCCGACAAGTGATCATGCCCCCTCCCCCCCCCCCCCCCCCACACACACATACACCACATGTGCGGTTTCATATTTCCATGTGTACAATAAAGACGATACACTAGCCATTTGAGAATTTATCTGAGAACTTTCCCAGCGAAAAGCTCCTCTCTAGAGTAATACAGCCGGGACACACAGAAAAATAGCGCGCATCCCAAAATGGCTACAACCGTAACAGATCGGAGATCTCTCATGCGAGGAAAGAGCCTACATCTTAGATAAAGCAGAATTTTCTAGACCCGGTAACACCTTTCTAAATAGGCAGTGGCTCTCCTATTTACTATCAGCCTGACAACCCTAAAAGCAACAAGTGAAAGGACCTTTTTTTTCATTTCCTCCTGCCTGCTGCACGCATAGTTACCCCAACATTCAGTGAGACGTGAAGACAATGAAGATTTTTGTTCGGAAGTGAGAGGCAGGCAGTCAACAGATTAGTGAGACATGGGCAGTCAACAGATTGGAGAGACGTGGGCAGTCAACAGATTAGTAAGATGTAGGCAGTCAACAGACTGGTGAGACGTGGGCAGTCAATAGATTAATGAGACGTGGGCAGTCAACAGATTCGTGGGACGTGTGCAGTCAACAAATTAGTGAGACTTGGGCAGTCAACAGATTAGTGGGACGTGGACAGTCAACAGATTAGTGGGACGTGTGCAGTCAACAGATTTGTGAGACGTGGGCAGTCAACAGATTAGTGGGACGTGTGCAGTCAACAGATTAATGAGACGTGGACAGTCAACAGATGATTGGGACGTGTGCAGTCAACAAATTAGTGAGACTTGGGCAGTCAACAGATAAGTGATATGATGGCAGTCAACAGATTAACTCTCACAAATCAGCACGCAACAACCAGTTAGCAGGGCACATGATGATGATAATATACACTCACTTGTACATCTGTGTATAACAGAATGACATACACACGCTAAATATCTACACACACTTAAACATCTGCGTACTACATGGCGACATACACATTAAGTAAATACACACGCTTACTGTATAGTACATCACGACATACATAGCAACTATATACACACTTATACATCTGTATAGTACATAACGACATACATAGTAACTATATACACACTTATACATATGTGTAGTATAGATGACATACACATCTATATTAATACAAATGGTAATGTTCCGAGTTTGTTAAAAATAGAATCGTGCACTACTGAACCGATTGCTTTTAATTTTCCACACAAAGTTGCGTTTGCCTCAAAGCATCCTTTTTTTGTGTCATTAAATCGCACAAACCACGAACGACGTAGCTCCAGCAATGGTCAAATAAATATTTATTTTGTTGTCGGCCCGAATTTGTTTTTAGTTGATTGGCCACCTTCGACTGCTGAGCAGGGCTGCAAATAAATCCCCCCCCACCCCCCCCCCTCCCATCCCCCCAGGATCAATCTCCAACATTTCTTCATTGATCGCTTTCAAATTTTCGCACAACGTTGCCTTAGACTTCGCGCGTATTTGTATGCATGAGTTTTACACAAATCACGAATGACGTAACTCCAGCAACGATCATTTCATTAGTTGTTTCATTGCCGTTCCGGGTTTGTTTTTAGTTGTTGGTCACCTTTGACTCTGTGTGTGTAACACCGAACTTCACGTTATTATATAGTTTCATTTCTACTACATTCTTGAATAGTTGTTAGCGTAGTTAGTTGTGAGCATTTCACCTTTCACGCGGTAGGCGTTCGATTCCCCGCAGGGTCATATAATGTGTTGGCAAAGAGGGGGGGGGGGGGTTAACTGGATGGCTGCCACGTTTTGTTGTGATTTATAGCTAGGCTGCAATCTACGCCTTCCCCCCCCCCCTCGATTTTGGAGTTTACAGCTAGCCTGCGATAGCGGCGACGTGATACTCAATGTGCATGTCACGGGTAATATTCGTTCGCCCTTGAAAAGGCGGTTGGCACATTGTGGTGTGGTTTACAGCTAGGCTGCGATATCTGACCGAAAGTCTTCAGTCTTCGGTAGTAGATTTGTAAGTATTCCGCCCTTGAAGCGGATGACCAGTGTTCGTTTCCCCCCTGGGTGCTAATTTTTCTTTTTCCCCAAAAGAGGCAGGTGGCACATTGTGTTGGGGTTTACAGCTAGGTTACGATATCTGCGCCTCACGCCCACAGACATAAGATTTCAGTAAAGTCTAAATTTGCCTCCCCCGACGCTTAACTCGATCAAAAAACTATTCGTTGATGACAGACACTGTTAATTAACACGGCTTACGGTCCAATTTGGTTTGAGTCGACACGGATGCCAAGGTTAATTAAAAATGGTCCCTTCGTAGATGAAGACGAGTGCGGGTTTTTATTTCCGCTATTTGTGAGTATAGTGTACTTTTTTTTTTTAAATCACGGAATATTGCTGTGGGTTTCACCACTGGTTATGTGATAGTTTTATGTCGGGGGCACACTTAAACTAAACAGTCCATGGCGACAGCATGCGGTGCCAACTCCTCTGGCTACAACGACCTGTACAGACAATGGTGACCGTTTTGTGTTGCTGTTGTTGTGACGGTGGTGGTGGTAGTGGTAGCAGTAGTACTGGTACTCGATGTTTGAAGTGGTAGCTGTTACACTGGCCACATTTACTTCTCAGTACAGATTAATGCTACCAATTTAATCTGGGTGGATACGGATGTCAAGTTCAATTTAACAACAATATTTCGTCAGGCAATGTCTTTCCGATACTTTGTGGAGGATATGATTGTAACGGAGAGGGGGAGGGCGGGGGGGGGGGGGTTTGATGCCAGACACTGTTCACTTTAAGATCTTAAAATATTATTTTAAAGTTGTCATTTCTTAACTATCTTTATTTTAACAATGTTGAGACGTGATAATTGTCTCATTCTGAGAGGGAGATATGATTGGGGAAGAGGGTTGGGGAGGGGGGGGGGCGGGGCCGGGGTCTCGACAGACACCTTTAGCTCAGAGAGCTTATAACTTTATTTTACAGTTCTCATTTCTTACATATTTATATTTTAATATCGCTTTCTCGGCTTTTCTCATGTGTGTGTGTGTGTGTGTGTGTGTGTGCGTGTGCCAGTTTGTTGGTCAGTTAGAGTTATAGCAGTCAGCTTTACTTTTACCTGTTTAAGCACAACAGATGCTTTAGCTTCGATAAACAATTAGTCTTTTTTTTTTTATCTCTAACAGTGCAGTTTATTCGACCACTTATATCGACATTCACTGATATGTTGCGTGTTCTGGAGTTGGCATATCAGACTGTCTCTGTTGCTGTGCAATGTCTGATATTACAACTATATACACACACTTATATTCTGTGTAGTACAGTGCGACATACATAGTGACTATTAACCACACACTTATATGTTCTTTTTAGTACAGTACGACATACATATTAACTATATATATATATATATATATATATATATATATATATATATATATATATATATATATACGCATTTATGCTTTTGTGCATTACAGTGCAGATAGTACACGTAGTAACTATGTTGGAACTATTTCTTCCAGTATAACACGCTCAACACTATATGCTTGTTGTTTACCAACACACTGAAAACAACACATTACCTTGGTTACAAAATTCGCCCTGATGGCCAGTCACACATGAATAGCACTTTTCTGTTTGGTTGTCACACAGCTGGTTTGAGCAATATTCCGAGCATCTCCTGTCACACAGTGGTCCAACATATCCATCTGTGCACTCTAGCATTAAACACCAGAAATGTATCGACACATTAGAAACGTTTGGCTAGGTAACTGTCTTGGTTGTCTTTATTATAAAAAATTCCATAAATGGACGATGATTTTGTTACTGAACATTCAGATTTAACTTTTTCCAGACATTATTTCTTTCGTGTTTCACTCAAAACCACGTACGTATAATTGTAGCATATATATTTGTGTCTTGTTTATTTCAGTATTTAAAAGTCAATGAAAAAGGTAAATACGAAAGAGAATGCTGTTAAAATGTGGAATGGGCGAAACTCACACAGGGACCAATACGCTAGGAAGCTCAGAAACATCGATAACAATTAAACAGGTCAGCTAGGAAGAACACGGGGCTTTTACAGAAGGGATCAAACAAACACGTTCTATAAGATTTTGGGCAGACACGTTACTGACAAAGGACCTGTCGCTTGCAATATCTGACTCTCCGTTTCTCTCACCGATCATATCGGAAAAGAACATAGACTACGAGGAAACAATAGTCATTGACTAAAAAATAAATACATGGAGAAGAGAAGAGAGCTGAAAAAATGATGTTAGAAAGATGGGGAGGACATGCGGAGCGCTCTAAGCAACTGCGAAGGAAAGAAAGACTTGGCGTTAGTTGGTTAAGGGTCTATGATCCATTGGGGATAGAAAGGCAGAAGAAGTCAGTGTCTTTTGGATCTTTTGTGTCAAAGAATGTGCCAGTATTGACGGAAAGAGAGCAGGGATAAGGCAAAGGGATACATATCTACATGGCTTTATGGTACTGATAGGGCAAGATAAGAAATCCGATCTGACGCTGGACTCTGGTGATCGTCGGAGATGGCCAAACATGACAACCTACACGAATCGGCCCGGCAAACAATGATGATGATGATGACAATGATAATGAACAACTGCACCCATTAAAGCTGATCGACTCGGTTATCCAAGTCTAGGGACTGTCTACACGTAGAATAGTATATGGGAATGTTGAACAAAACGGCTACAAACAATGTCCACAAGTCTCGCACATCCGCTATCTTGACACTTCAAATCAGTTCATGAAACATTCAAATCTGGTCACCGGATGTAAACTGAGGGAAAACGTTTTGGCTGTTTATCTGCTTCTTGACTTTGATAATGCTCTAGAACTTAAATTAGGCATGCACATATGTTTTCAGATCTGGCTTATGTGTTTGCAGGCTGCTGGTTCATCGCCTATCTGACACAACAAGTGTTACTTCAAAGTAAACGTCCATAGTTATTCGACTCTTACGACATGCTTGTTACGGATCAGCGTGTCTTTTTACACAATGGGGTTTGTTGTGATTTAGGTGTTAGGTGATTGTCCGAATGACGACCAAGTGTCTAAGAATGCATGATATCACTACCTGATTCATTTATTAGTAACACGTTAAAACATCAATAACGTATTTTATTCCTCAAGCCGTACAATAAAATAAACGACAATATATTAAAGAATAATAAAGGACATGCCCATAACGCTCTCAACAACAACATAATACTCGAGCGACAGCTCACTAAAACAATATTGTAATAAGTGACTGCTCACACTGGGCTAACAGTTCCATTATGGAAATATCATTACCAGATTGGAATACCTCTGAAAGATAAGCCGGAACAAAGTCCGAATAACCCTATCAATCTCCACAAACTGGAGCGGTTAGGTAGCGATGTTAAACAAAACATCGCGAGCATAACCCATTTCGAACATCTTCAAAGCAAACCATCACAAGGTCCGAGCTGTCCATCAATTCTTGCAGATGATAACATGGATCCACACCCTACGACACAAGGAGATCTCTCCCTTCTACATCTTTCTCTCTCTCTCTCTCTCTCTCTCTCTCTCTCTCTCTCTCTCTCTCTCTCTCTCTCTCTCTCTCTCTCTCTCCCTCCCTCTCTCTCTTTCTCTTTCTCCCTGTCTGAGCCGTTTTAGTTCATTACCCTACCTACCCTTCAGTACGTGCAAATCATTTTGTGTGTGTTTTGCAAAGCTGAACGGAGCAAAAGCAAACGTTCGGTGCAGTTTTCGGAAATTACAACTACTACCACTTTCCCGTAAAGTCAGCCAGTACTGTGAGCTCCTGCTCCTTCATTTAATATTAATCATGAAACAACTGAGACATTAATATACATATTCAAATGCAACTCATTCCATTATCATCCTAACTCTCTTTCTCTAAATATCTATGTGTATACAAGTGACACACAACAGGGCCCCTGAATCTATCCAGTGATGATAACCCGACAATATTGTTGAAATCATAAACAGTTTTACCGTCACAAAATGTCCCTGTACGATTGCTAACACAGGATAAACATGCTCCCGTTGCCTGGTCACACAATCTGTCAGCACACAGGTTCGAGCAAGTGCTCGTGCAATTGTCACCATACCATCCACTGAGACAGTCTGGAAAACAACGCATTGTACGTTAGAAGGTTTTACTTGGGAGAAAAGCGAAGAATCAAAAGGCATGACCAAAAGTCTAAACATGTTAATACTAAATAAAGTTTGGGGATATACACAAAAATGACAACTTTAGCCTGATGTAGACCTCTTCGTTTTGGTCCGTAGCTTTCGCCTGACAGCAGAACACCCCTCTAGTCTGACACATGCCCACCTCTTGCACACCTCTTATGTAAATGAGCTATTTTCAAATCTTAGACTTGCTTCCATGAGTAAATAGTTCTTCGTTTGTACGTATGTATTAAGATGTCGGGATAAGCCCTCAATTCGTTCCTAAATCTATTGGAAGTTATGTTGAATTCACTCACACGTAAGTGATTTTCTAGAGTAGCTAGGCCTTTTATCATCAGCCGATGGACTGAGCCTCGAGAGGCAGGGAGTAAGAAGTGTTGGTTTTATGGGTAGTGGTTTTACCCCTTTACTTCCCCCTAGGTAATGTGAATATCTGTTCATGAAAGGAGCGTCAACTGCGGTGTTAGCCTCTTGACTTAGCATAACCTCTCTTACTCCAAAACCATAGTGCCTGGCGAAAAGCCACACACTTCCCGAGGTAGTTCTGGTAATTGGGGGTGCGAATCCCGAAGGAAAACACAATGGATCTAATGGGGCGAACCTCAATAATAAAAAAAAAAAAAAACCGGTGCACCACACCGTACTGCCCCCTGTGGGAGGGAAGGAGCCGGAGGGGTGCTAAACAGTCTTAGGAGTGGAAACAAGTATGCTAACCCACTGAATACCGTAAACTATCGTGAATGCACAGGGACTCAGGACGTGACGATTCAGTTGCCCCAACTGCTCATGCTTAGGCCATGCTTAGAGCGAAGGACTGAAACAAGGTATAGCAGAAGGTATGATACTAGGAAGGAAGGGCAGGTGCCAACTAACAAGAAGATGGGCATAGGATATAAGTGACTCCTTAAGTATAAAAGTGCATAGACGGTAGAGCTGGCGAGAGATCGAGTTTTTTTTTTTTTCTTTCAGGCAGACCGTGATGAGAGCAACGTTCTGCAAAGGACCTCCTACATGATGATGATGAAATAATTTAATAGGGGAAATAAAAGAAAGGCAAATGGTAATGATACATAAATGATACTGATAAGAGCTAGAATAAAGTAATAATATGAAAAAAAAAAATATTAGAAAAGAAAATTATTAACATTTCAGATGTGATAATAGTAAAACTGTTTATGTTGGAACTGGGTATGTTGGAAATTTATACTACCTGGACTAAGAACGACTAGGCTGTGGATGAGGCGATTTTTTTAAAGCGAGGCACGTAGTATTATTGCCAAAGCCAGATTTCAAGGCTGTGATATATATATATATATATATATATATATATATATATATATATATATATATATATATATATATATATATATATATCATCTTTACCTCTGTGGTCAGAGCTGTTGATCAATGGAGATGGATTGGTTTAAGTCTCTTTTTGTTAATATCAGAGAGGTGTTCTCGGAACGATCAGCTAGCGTTCTGCCAGTTTCCCCAATGTATGCCTTGCTGCATTGTTTGCAGATTATTGCATAAATTCCGTCGCAGGATTTTCGAGTAAAATGCTGCTTATTTTAGAAAGAACCATTAGGGAAAATGACCGAGGAAGTCTGGACATCAACAGGACAGGTCTTGCAAGTGCTTCATGAGCATTCAGTAGTCCGTCCCGAAAGGAAGAGCTGTGTGGATCGGTAGGAGTCGGCTTCGGACAAGTATGTCTTTAATGTTGTGGTCTTGCTATAAACTAATCTTGGCTTCTCACTAAAGATAATCTTGATGTCCGGATCAGAGCAGAGAATGTCCAAATGACGAAAGAAAACTTCGGAAGCAACCACGTTGCTAGAATGAAAAGTCAAAATCAATCTGGGTCCATCGCTGATGGAATTACGTTTGGTGGGGAAAGCATATCTCCTGGTGATTGATATAAATCTTTCTTCAGAGCCTCTTGTAGAATGTGTTCCGAGTAGAAACGGGCACGGGAGAAATAAACAATTGGAACTGATTTATCAATGAAGTTAGAATCATCAGAGCACAACTTGCGCAGTCGAAGGAGCTGTGAATACGGCATAGAATGTTTATACCGTAGTGGGTGAGAGGACGTATACTTCTTCTTCTTCGCGTTCACCAGCTGTACACACTAGCGGAAAGTTCTGGCTGCTCGTCCACTACTGAACTGCAGTCCTGCTCCAGAACCTGAGTGTTGCGTATGCCTCAGTTTCACAGATCTAATTCTCTTGAATATAGACTGTTGGTTCCTTGCCTCTCCGGCAGCTGCACTCCGACTTCAAAGGAAGCTTCCCAATTAGTCGCCTCTTACGACATGCTTTTGGGGAGGCAGTGGGTCTATTCTTGTTTTCCCCACAATGGGGCCCCAGAACCCACACGGGGGAAAGAGGACGTATAGAGGAGATAACTGTGAGAATCTGGGGGTTTGTGGAAGGCTGTGGCCTTAAAACACGGGAAATCGATACTGGCCGTGATGTCAAGCACGTTTGCTGAAGTGGTGGAGATCAGTGAAGTGAATTTGATAGCCGAATTGCCATTGTTGATGTAACTGATGAATTGGTCAAGTTCAACCTTGGAATTTCGATGATACCAACACCATCATCTATGTATCTCCTATATACCTCTGAAACTTGCCTGGGTATGATAAAATGACCTCATATCCCAGTTGGCCCATAAAGAGGCTGGGGCCTATCTTGGTGTCCATCGCGACCCCACTGATCTGGTCGAAATACTCTCTATTGAACTCAAAAGAGTTAATGGTCAGTACCTGTTCGACAAGGCGTACAAGAACAGCAGTAGAGATGATGGGTACTGGAGTGCCCTAAGACCATCAGAATGAAGGATAGACCTATAGAGGAAACATATGTCTATGAGGACAAATTGTAGGTTTCACCGGAGTCGCATGTTGGATCCAAAAACGGTGAGGGCATGGTTAGTGTCTTTGACAAATAAAGGGAGAGTGGCAACAATCGGTTGAGAAAAATAATTATTATAATAATTTAAAAAAAAAAAAAAAAAATTGTAAAGCTAATCAATCATCATCATGTGTCAGTATCCCGGGTCTCTGACCTTCTATTCTGCCAAACCCAACCAGAATGTTGCTAGCTGCTGTGTTTTTTGTTGACATTATAAATTTATTAAGGGAGTTTTCCCTAGTTACAAACACAACTATAAGTGCTCTCTTCACATTTATGTATAAGCTCGTATTGAAGTCGAGCCTACGAAATGTGAAAATGATCAAGTCCATCTCTGATAAGCATTTTGAATCCATCAGAGCTGCAGTCACACAAAACACTTAGTGCCCAAGTTTACCCTCGTCACAATATGGTTGTTCCTATCACATTATGCATTATTATTCTGAATTCAGATTTGTCAGTGTCCGTTCTTTTCCAGTATTGTGTTATATTTTGACTATGTTATATGTTTGCTATTTAGTATGAGGGCTTCTAAGTGGTGAGGAAATCAGGCTTAGGTGTGCCCCGTAATCTGTTATTGCAGTGGGAATCATAGTTTGAGTTGTCTGACCCCTGAAATGATATTAGATAGTCGTTAGAGATAATGAGAGCATTCTAGACCAATGCAAGCCACCATCTAACATTAAGTCATTTCGGAGTTTTTTTTTTCTTTTTCTTCTTTTTGATTACGTGGGAAAGCCCTCACAAAGACATGTGACAGACAGGTCATGTGACAGACAGGTCATGTGACAGACAAATCATGTGACAGACAGGTCATGTGACAGTACCCATTACTGAGACATAGACCATCAACCTGTTAACATGATGGCCTTTTTCACATCGTCTACAGGTAGCTTCATCTCTCTTCTGGCCCTCGCCACCGTACCATTTAACCGTATGGTTATACTTGTGCTCGTGGGTAATGACGAGTCTCTGACAAGGTTTATCGTTATGGGAGTTAGACCTGGAGAAGCACGTCTGTACCACCTTTTAGGCCATGATAGGAGACACTACCGCAAATTCATATAGGAAAAATAATGTGGGATATCTTAGAAATGAATCTAAGGACTGTTCACGCAACCCAATGCTAAATGTTTATTGACGAGTTTTGTGTTTAGGGATAACATAATATAATTGGAGAAATTGGTCATTCCAATCATCGTATTAACATATATTCCACATCTGGTGCACTGAGGTTATGAAACTGTGTTCACATCCATCTAAGTCAGAAAATTCAGACGGATGGAGCCTATCATGTGTGGGAGTAATAAGAGAGACGTTATGAATAATGTGAACACCATTGACAAATAGGGGGGGGGAGGGGGTGGAGGGAGGGGAATTTATCAAACGCAGACTCGTTACCATTGCAAAAGGGTCCAACACGATTTCCACGACAAAGCAAGCATTCTCCACTTGTCAGGTTGTACAGTCCCTCAGGACACAGGTGAAGGCTGGGATTCGTGCTAGTTCTAGTTTCGTCAGACATTTTGCTCACATTTTCAGGAATCAGTGTCGTAGGAGACGGGATAATCACTGAAAGTATACAGAAAAAAAAGATGGGTGTTGAGGGGGGGGGGGTGTGACAAAATCATTTTAAACACCAGTCCAGGCAGGGGTGGGGGGTGACAAAACCATTTCAAACGCCAGGGCAGAGAGAGAGAGAGAGAGAGAGAGAGAGAGAGAGAGAGAGAGAGAGAGAGAAGGCGGGTGGGGGACATATATGTTTAAAACTAGGTTATTAGCATTCTGACAATTAAATAAACTCAAGAAACGTCTGTTTAGTTGGGTCGTGAGATGCAAATAAACACTTCTAAACTTGGTGCATAGCGTAGTGATTTCGGTTACATGCATGAGGGAAACTTACATTAGTTGTGATGCGCATATGAAAATACTGCGTACTCACCTTGAGCGCCACCCAGCTATGTGCTTTTCAATGCTTTTTTTTTTTCTTTCTTTTTCTTCAAAATCTATATA